TCCCCGACGAACACTACTATCAACTATGCGCGGTCATGAGCCAGCAACCTTCACTGTTACCAACCCCATTTTTTTCCGAGCATTACCGTTATATAATTACTTGTGACACTTTCTATGGAAATATTTTGATGTCAGGAAAGATTTTCGTATTGTTGTTCATGGCCGTAATCGTTCCAGTTCTTGACTGTATCTGACGTTTTCGCAAAAAATGCCAAACCAAAGATAATTCTAGAAATGCTAACCACGATGGTAGGTCAGAGAAGATCGTTCTCGTGAAAACAAATCGTATCGTAAGGATGTGTCCATTGTGTGTATAGTCATTCGTTCACTCTATCCCAGCCAATCATCTTCATCAATTTCAGATACACTATATGAACTGACTGATCAAAGCACATTACTAATGGAACGAATACTAACCTGTCATCAATATGCGTATAATATTATGCTGAATGCTTCGCGACAATTCCGCAAACGACCAAAAGTTTTAATCTTGCTAACATTACTATCAATTTTAATAATAGAAGAAGCATCTTACCATCCAGTATACATGAATCTTCGTATTGCATACTTGAAATACTTTGGAAAATCAGTGAATACCATCATACGCACACGTCGTACCGAAGGTTACTTTTTCATTCGCTTTTAAATTAGCAAGCCTGTAGAGAACATCGCCTCTCTTGAAAAGGGAGGCGATGCTGTAAGCTACAGCAATAACTCTTGATGAAGCTCAGCCCTGCGGCTCAAGCCTTCATGTGAACTGCGCATAGCTCCCAGCTGCGGGGTAAGGCTCAGGCTAAGTTCTTAGTCAACCTCAGCCAAAGATAGAGGCAAATCTCAGCTTTAGGTTAGCGTTTAGCTTAGCTTCTTTTCACGAGCACTAACTGCAAGATAACCCTTAATTTTCGGGTTTCTTGACAGTGATCAAATCATTGAGTGGCTCTACCAAAATAATCCATCGATCGTTGAAAATAGATTCGTTTGATACTACGGATAGGTCCTCAATGTCAGACTTCTTGATCGTTCAGTCAGATTCCAAATCATTGGTCGAGTATGTCGATTATCATTAAAAGGCTACCAGAATAAGAGTGCAGTGACGACCTGTCTTATGGCGCTGAGCGAGCATGAGAATCACTGTTTCAAAGTGAAGGATACTGATGGTCGATATAATCTCTTGCCATTAGCCGATTGGAATTACTGCCGAATTTCTCCAGTAAATGATGATTTTACTTAAGTTGTAATATTCATTTAATTTGAAGATGATTTAAAACTCACTCACGGCATTGCCATAATAAGTGTGGTCTTTGATCAACAGAATTTTGACAATTATCTCTTAGCTCAACAAACTTTCGAATGCTATGCAATTCATCATAATTATAAATGGATACATATTGATTTATCAGCTAATCGCACGCTCAAACAAATATGCTCACAGCAAGATGTTAGTTTTGTTGTTTTTTTCTGGACGCTTCAACCATATTTTTTGATAATTTTATTCGTGAATACCTTTATTTCATAACCTGAATATGCTATATGGACTACTAAATCCGATTATTTCGACTCCGCTGAAGTAAAATTAGATTCTTTGGGTAAGCTGCTAGCTTAGTAACTTTTTAAAAATCATATTCCCTCTACCTACGGATTGCGAACGGCTCGTGCTTATGTGATTTAGCAGAAACCATGATGAAAATTGTACTGTTAACTTGATACGACCAGTGTTGTTTTGTCAAACGAAGAATCCGTAATTTTAATGTTTTCTTTTCTGATTATACTTATTATCATTGATTTGCTTTTTCATTGAATCGGTGAGCTCATGCTTTGCTTACTTACGGTGAACATGCTCTGCTTTCCCCTCAGCTTACCTCCAGCTCATTTTAAGGATTACTTGTAATTTGATTGTATCTTATTTGTAATCAGTATTTGTACGCAAAGACAATACTGCCTATCGATTTGAATGAATTCAGTATCAATATGCAGTGTTGTGTATTAATTTATTTGGTGGACGCATCGATCAGAACAAAAAATAAGTCAGTTGCCGATTTCATTCATGTTCATTGGTCAATGTGTAGTCACACAAGCAGTGGAATAATGGAATGAGCAACGGAGGCTTCTTGTAGACGCCGATATGGGCTTTATAAATCCGAATCATCTGATAGAAATGTGCATTGATGATGAAGTGAATATTATTCATGTGTAAATTCATTCTCTTGCGAAATGTTATTCCTATTTAAGTAACGGAAAAATATTTTCTTCATTCTGCCCAGAACAGTGCTTTATAACGAAAAGTCCTGACGAATAGGAAAACCTATTGAATCTGACGAATAATTTGCAAGCTGTCTTGAGTGCAATGCATCAGATTCACATGTCGTTCATTCATAATGTCGTGAAAGGATTTTTATTTATTTGGAGGATCTTTGAAAATGATGACGTTTTAAGTAATTCGTGTTGGCAGGCTCTGAGGATGGTCTTAGTTAATCGCAAAATTTTCTTAATGTAAATATCCATATTTATCGCTTAACTGAACAAACACTCGAATGCAATGCAATTCATCGTAAAAATATGTGGATACATACTGATTTATCATCATGTCGTATGCTCGAACAGATAAGCCTGCAGCAGGATGATAGTAAGTGGTTAATCATTATTTTCTTCTGGTTGTTCCAACCATTTTTAATGGCTTCTTTTGTGAATACGTTTATTTTAAAAATTCATATCGCTGGTAGGATTCCTCCATCCAATTATTTGGATATCGTTGTAGCGAAAGTAGATTCTCCTTGTATGATGACTTCTTACTGGCCTTATGTCTTCCTCCCTTGGGAATGCACACGGCTCGTGCTTCTAAGACTAAAGAAAAGATAAAATGAAAAGTGCAATGGTAACATGATACGACCAGTATTGTTTTGTGAAACGAACCATCCGAAATTTTAATGTTTTCTTTTATGATTATTCTTATTTTCATTGATTTGCTCATTTATAAATTCGGTGAATACATGCTTTGCTTATTTACTGGTGAACACGCTCTTCCTCGCCCCCAGCTTACCGCCAGCTCACTTTGAAGATGACTTATAATTTATTTATATTTTATTTGTAATCAGTGTCGGTTCCCAAAGACAATGCGGCTTAACGACATGAATAAATTCAGTGACTCATTATTGTAACATGTAGTGTTCTGTGTGAATGTATTTGATGGCGACATCGAATAAGTAAGATAAATCAATTGCTGATTTCAGTTTATGTTCACACGTCATTGCGTAGTCGCACAGACAATGCAACAGCTGAATGAACAGTGGATTCTTTTCATAGACGCCGATATGGGCGTTATAAATCCGAATCATCTGATAGAAAAATGGATTGATGATGAAGTGGATATTATTTTTTATGACCGAATATATAATTATGAAATTATGGCTGGTAGTTATCTAGTCAGGTTAGTGCAATTGACGATTTGTAGGGATAGAGTATGTTTTAATGACCGTTGGAATCGTTCAATCGAAAATGATAAGTTTTCATCTATGTTTTATGCGTTATTAATGAACCTTTCAAAGATGCTCTTCTATTTCGTTTATTTTGTTGCTTATTGATCAAATAAAAATCGTGGACTACTCTGGATTAGTTTTTGTAATAAATGTGAAACTGAGTTAAAATTATAAATGCAATGTGAATGTTTGCAACACGTTTAAAAGTGCAGAAATTTGATGTCATACATAGTCATTTCTGAGTAATTTTTAATCTCAAATACTTCACATCTTTGTATCCATCACAACCAATTCGCTTTTGAGACATTTTAAGGCGGTTGTTTCCAATATCTTTTTTATCCATGGTGCTCAATTAAAGTGTTTTAGAAATTCGGAATATGGACGTATGTTTTTGAACTACTGGGCTGATTATGAAAAACGTTTACCTTCATCGTTTCATGGTACTGATAATGGAGCCATACAAGTAAAATTTCCTGCAACTGAACCAAATTTTAGATTTTTGTTTGACCACTTCCGTTTGTTCCGTCAGGAGGTGTTTTGTGACATCGTGATATCCTTATAGACATGAATAATTTCCACTTCTCGAACACTTATTTGCATATGCGCGCATGAGTTAACAGTTTTTGTATTGTTCTTGAAGCTTTCTGTTGGAGTATACAATAGCTATATTCGAAAACGGATCCATTTAATGAGTTCATTTCATTATGGTGTTTGCAGAACGTATTCATGGAACTGATGGTGCCTGAAAAAATCAATGAAAGGAAGAGATGCGAACGGATCTGGAACGTTTCAAAGTGTGACTTTCACTCTATTGATCACGACAAAATTTTCGTTTTTTTCAGTTGCAGATAATTATCTTTTAGATTTTCAATCTAATCTTGTTGAAAATCAAAATTTTCTTCCGACTTGGTTGGTATCAAAACAAAGTTGTCACTGGTTACCCAGATATAAGTTGTTCGCTGACGAAATATTGGCTGCTATGAAGCTATTTTATGCTATTTTCTGTCATTAGTTAATAGTTTATAAAGTAGAATGATAAGCGGCAGAAGTCTGCAGCAGCAAAGTTGTTATTTTAAAGCGTTTTCTTTCCAGATCGTATGATGATTTATTTGTGTACGAAGCGTGTGCAAGAGATGTATTAGGTACTGTGAATAAATGGCCAGGCAAAGCACGAATCCTGAAGAAAGGTACTGCTTGGGCACGTGACGCTTGGCTGACCAACTCGAGATGGTGCGAAAACGATTTCATACTACACGGTTGGAAAAAAACGTTAGTTTTGGGCCCTTTCGGCATCATGTGTTTCAGTGACTTCATTTTCAGTTCTCCAACTCTATTTCGAAATCGTGTTTTCCAGTGGCCTCATTTTAAGTTCTTTGACCTATATTGCAGAATGATAAACGTCTGATTCACGGGTCTGATTGAAAACGCGACCTCTTTTCACCTCATTTGCCGGGAATTCAAATCCGTCACTTTTTCATAAGAATCAATTCGTAGATAGCAAATTCAGTTTCACTTGCATAACAAATCAAATTGATTGATACGACCAACGAAATCCGTTATTATCAGACAGATTATTATCAATCATCATGTAACAGGAATCTGAATGAACCGCCACCAGTCGGGTGGCTGTTACCATTTACTTCGGATACTCTCAACATGTCACTTTGTGGAACCGACGAAGCCGGATCAAACTGGAAATATAACGATACACTCATGCGTTCAGAAAATGAAATTAAAGAAATGATCGGTGCTGTTATCGCTGAAACGAATCAGTCATATCATGTGGCATTGGAAAGGACCAATGACTATTTGGTGAGTTAAGAGGACAATACGAACTAACAGTGCATCTTTTGAGTGTAATTTCATTTGATTTCTCATTGATGCCATAGGTAGGGAGAGCTCGACTGTTAAGAACGAAAGTGGGAGTGTTAAAAGTTTCTTGAGTAAATGGTGCTGTTTACTGGGTTGTGACTATGTTTACTAGCGTCGAAATATTATGACGGTCTGGTGGTTGATGTTACTAAACCATGTAGAGTTATACGTGTAGTATTTTTTTATTTCCGATATCTTTCCGGCGATTCTGAATTTTTCTTACAAGTTCTGTCTTCTTCTTGACAATTATAATATATGATTCCATATTTTGCGACGGAGTAGATCGTTAATTTCTTCCATCATGTTGACGGGATCATCGTTGCTCGTTGATGGATTCTTTCATTTATACTCGTGGAATGTTGAAAGTAGTTTAAGATTGTTCTCGATCATTCATGTTTCGTTGTTTTCGAATTACTGATTTCTACTTTATATAATTTTTCAGACAGCTCGCTTTTAACTGCTACCTTGAACAACTATTTCGTTTATCTATGCTTATTCATACATTTAACTCATTGTTAGCTGTTTCATGTAAGTTTGTTTGAATTCAGTCTCAACCTCTGTTTATTCATAATGCCACAGTTTTGCATTTTACTTACAATTCTTTGCGATTTATGATAGTTTAGGTGTTTACGAGAACTCCCTGTTGTCAGTTTTGGTGAGGGGAATACTGCTCACGTTATTTTTTAGCATTTATCTTCTACGGACTGGTAATTCTTAGTCTTATTCCTGTGATAGGTTGCAATGGCTACGGTGCAATGTTTACTTCGCATCATTTTTGGTCTTTCCTACCAATGTCTCCTCTTATAGTTTCCCCGATGGCTAACATTTTTTCAATTAGCTCCTATTTTGATTGTTTTCTTGCGTATTCTTGTTTTGCATTGTATGAATCCAAGAATCGTTTTTGCTGCTTAAAGAAGTTTTTATGATTCGATGGGGTTTTTTTGGATTATTTCCGTTATTACGTGTAACTTGAGGTTTATGATCATAGAAATGTTGTAGTCATCAAAGAGCTCATCAAATAACTGTTTGAATCAAGTTGAATGGTTGGATTCTACATCAATGTACATTATTCTTGCTTTTTTTGATTTTTGTAGACTGTTCTTGTTTTGATTTCGATGAAATTTTAGATGAAAATAAAGCGTTAGAAAACCGGATAAATGGAGCAGGCAGGTTTCTGATTAGACCTGATTCGAAAGAGCATGACAAGGACATAGCGAACGTACCAAACATCCGAAATTTCAACTGAGAAGAGGAAATATTATTTTTGAATAGAATCAAAAGCTTTGTCAGTTTCCGTTTTCATTTTTAGTATATGTGGGACTCCTGTAGAATCCGTAATGGCTTTAGCTCATCAAAAATACTCCTGCTAGAGGGTATAATGTGAAATTGCGGTGTGTTTGAAATCTGAGCGAGGAATACAAAGGTAGACGTTTTGTAGAGAACCGAAAAGTTGTTTACTGCCTGCATGACGGTCTCTGACGTTTTCGCAAAAAACACCCACGCCCTAGGAAACTGATAAGTGATTGGAAAAATAGCTTTTCAACAAGAGTTGATAATCTCTCAGTTTTTAGAAGATAACGGATAACGGCGATGCGAGAGACATGGCGCATTGTCCCAAGAAATATTGAAGCATATCCTCTGATGTTTTTCTTGGAACATGAGATAGGTATTTGTATACAATGTAGGCTTCAACTGACATTTCCGTCAGTTTTTTGCTAACTAGCGAGAGTTAGGGAGTTGTCGTGATTAGATAATCACGAAAAGGAAAAGAGTTTAAAATACGAAAAGAAAATGATTCATGAATTTACAACGTTACCATAAGAATCTAAGGAAACTGAACAAAGGCAAGGTAGGAAATGTGATAAGAAGGGCATCAAATATAGGCCATCATAAGGATTATTAATAGAAACAAATAAGAACAACATGAGAATATGAATATCGAAAGTAAGAATGGCGAATCATTCATCCCACATTTCTTGTTCTGTACGGTTTATCTGTATCGCTGTAGATTATTGTAAGCCGTATTACTAATAGTTAAGTTATATTTATTATTAATAGTTGAGATGACTAATGATATTAATAGTTATAACAGTTAAGATTAATTCGAAATCAGTAAAAAGTTATTGGAAATTTTGAATTTAAGAGATATTATCGCGAGGTGTTGTTATCATTAATAATGTTATTATTACTGTTAGTATAACACTGTCGTCATTATGAATGTCGTTGTTTACGTCGTTATCATTATCGATTACATTTTCCTATGAATGCTGTGGCTATGGTTTAATTACCCAAGTTTGAGATTAAACGATTAACGACAAGTGCGTATAGTCGTTACAGGAGTAGCGCGCTATTACAATCTCTGGACCTTGCTAATATTAACATTAATAATATCCGTTTCACATGCTATGTCCAACAGAAGGAATTATCAATATTACCTGGATTGGCCAGGCTACCAAACGTTTTTAACGTTGTTGGCCACAATGGTCGCGTTTCCGTGCACATTGTTTTAACCTCAATTTACGCCGCCCCGCTGGGTAGGCGAGCAGGCCAACTGGACACAACCGAGTAATTAATTAGTTGTCGACAACATAATAACTCTTGATCTCAGAGTTAAACAGCATGACTTCGTTCATATGAATAATAAACACGTGACTGTTTGATGAGAATTCATTTGTATTGAGACACCCTCATGCAGTTTAACTGACACATCGTATCAACGTCAAATAGCTCTGATGTTTACTATGGCCTTATTTCAGCCACAGTTGAATTATTGCTTTCTTTTCATTCGACAAATATCAACAAAACGTTTCTTTTCTGCTGAAAGTTTTTCCAGTAAAGGCATCACTGTTCAACTTGTACTCCAGACACTGCAAGCAAAGAATTTATTATGATTTCACTACAGACAAATGAGTATGTGAGTACGACAACTAATCAGACAGCGGACTGGTGGTGTGAGAGTACGCTGGATTGGTGCAAAAAAACAGTACTAATACGAAAAAATTTGAACTGATATTGGGTTAACTAATATTGTACGAAAAAATAAGAACGATAAGATAGAAAATATGATAAAGTTGAGAATAAATGATTAATTCATAAGAGTGTAATCTCGTGCAGCGATTGCGAGAATGACATGTAAACAAAATAACAATGGCAACAACAACAGCAACAACAACAATGGATACAAAGATAAATAGGTGAGGTGAAGTGAACAGAAAGCGTGGGATATAATCGAGCAATGAAATTTTATGGGTTCAGTGATGATTAATGCAGTTCTTCCATGTGCATACACTATCGTCAAGTGTAAAATAGCGAAGTATTATGAATTACGGTTTCTAGACGACTGTCATGAATCAGTCTCCCCCATAATGGGATTGTCACACATAATTGGATTTACATATGTTTACGTTCTCCTCTTATCCAAGAGCGATGAGTACTTTTAGGGAATTGAACTTATGGGAAATTTCACTAAAACAAACACTCCATTAGAGAGCTCAAGGAATACAAATGCGATATAATTTGAAGAGTTCTTTATGACAACAAAATACAACAATAAGTCACTGCTTCACAAAAGTAACGAACTTATCATGCGTTTCAGTGGTATTAATTGTTGGATTATAATACGAATAATCAATCACATTAGTACAAATAGTCATAATAATAGCAATAATAATAATCTGAGTATGAATAAGTGGCACAAGAAACACCATCAAAAATCGGTGAAAATCAATAAAGATAGAGAGACAAATAATCAGGAGATCGCAATACAACAATATGGGTGTTTATTCAAAGTTTTGTGATTCATTCTTCACCCAAATCGTTGGCCGTCCAAACGTACCGATACCTTTATTCCTCATCAATAACCTTGTCCACCATTCCAACCATCACCGCCACCGCTCCCTTGCCCACCCCCCAACCACCTTGAGATCCACTTCCTTAACCGCCCCAACCTCCGTGGGAGCCACCACCTTGACCTCCCCATCCGCCTGAAATACTCAGCATATGAGACAGAATGAATAATTGGAACACGTGAATTGAAGATATTTCAAAGGTGGACTCGGGGAAGTCATCTTAAAATGTTAGCATAGATTCATTTCAGGACTGAATGCGACTAACTGAAAAGTTCTGAGTTTACCTCCTCCATTCGAGGGTCCATCACCTGCATAACCTCCACCGTATCTTCCGCCACCGTATCCATCACCACGTTCGAATTACTTAGTTATTGACGAATTGCTAAAAGTTCGTCAATAAAGTTATTCAACCGTAGCGATCACAGAAACTTAACGTAATATGACCCGCCTTCGAGAACCTCCCGGTGCACCCCATTGACCACCGCCACCTTGACCACCACCGTAACCACCCCTTGGTCCAACACCACCTGGAGCCCACGGCTGTCCACCACCATATCCACCTCGATCTCCAGCGCCACCGTCCATACCCCAACCTCCGTTACCGACTCGACCACCGATTGGTGGACCACGTGAACTGCCACCTCGGTCCAGTCGCTCACGTTCTTGCTGCTGGGCCTGCAATACTTTACGCTAATGATTCATTCTACAGAAAATAGTGTCTGAAGAATGAAAGATGGTTAGCGATTCAACACGGTTAGTGACAATACAAGACAATAGTAAACAACTGCTAACCCTAGCCATTTCTTCTTTGCTCAACGCTTTTTTCACATCACATCGTGCATTATTGATCATATGACCTTTGATCAGAACACACTTATCCACAGCATCATAATCGGCGAAAGTGATAAACGCAATCTTTCCGCAGTTGATTATGCAAAGCCCTCTTAACCTTAACTGCCTCGACTGATTTTTTGCGTCCAAGGGTTCAAGCTTCCGTAGCAAGATACTCAGCCTGCGTGCTAATGAATGGTCTTCTTGATGTCTACGGCGGTTTTGTTAGGGCCTGTTGTGCACAGGATAACACGGCTCTTGTGTCGGATGCGGAGTTAAGATCATCATCTTTATTCTTGTTAAACTGATCGTGAGACATTTTGGTTCCTGCTAGTTTAGGGTAGGTCTTTCGCGCCTGATTATCGTTTCGTAGTTGTTCAAGGTTGAGCCGCGGAGAATATTGTGATCTGCGGTGATTCAGAAACCTGACAATGAGCTTGATACTGAGAGATACCGGTACATGATCGCTGTGAAATGGAGCGTTCCATATGTTTCGTGATCCATTAACCGTATATACCAACTTTCTTGATATCAGAATATAATCTATCTGGTTTGTTAGAAGTGCACTTCTTCGTCTTCATTTTTCTTCTGTACTGATTTCAACGTTTCCGCACCATGTGACTCGATGTTTTCTCCGATTTCTCTTCAGCGTTGAAGCAATTACCAGTCTTAAACTTTCGCACGTGTCAAGCAATCTTCTCCCGTTTTAGGTAGTTTCTCGAGACGGAACGTACCACTTTCCGAGGGCAGCCGGTGATTCTTTTTCCCTAAATTGGGCGTTACCATCAATTCCCACTATTAAAAATTGATTTCATTTTACTTTGTCTATGACCTTATCGAGAGCTTCATAGAATGGGTCCTTTTCATCATCCATGGCTCCTTCTGTTGGTGCGTGCGCACTGATTATCCATACAGTCTTAATTCCACAATTCTTGACTTTTACCCATGCCAAACGTTCACCTAATGAGCCAAATTCTGTCGCAGAGTTTACAAGATCGCTTCTTACCGCCACTCCACACCACCTGTGCCGTCCGTATCAGCACTACCCGAGAATACATGATAACTTTTAGAAGGTTATCCTCCGGCTTCCGCTGGTGTTGGCAGCTCGTACCGCGGTTCACTGATTACTCTAGTTTCTTGAAGAGAAGCAGTGGAGGCGTTCAGCGTGTTGAGCGTTTTATTAAGCATGAACTGATTTAGTTGACTGCATAGAGTACGACAGTTCAGTGTTACTATATTAGTATGGTTCTTCCTGCTTAACAGCTGAGTGCATCGTTGGGTATTCATTTGAGTTTGAGCTTGGTTTATTTGTTCCAAATTGGAATACAATTTATCTTTCTTCCCTTCTTGAGTATTTAACCTTAACGAGGACTGTTGGGTTAATTGAGTCAGCCCTAATGAGGACTATTGGGTTTTATCGTCCGTTTCCAACATGTTTGGGTAAACCAGTTG